CAATTAAACAAAATATTGCTACATATTTGGCTCATTGCCAACACTTTTTCAGGCTAATAAAAAAAAATATATTAATAATAATATATTTAATAACTTTTTAATAATTGTAATATAAATAAATTTATACTGATAGCCTATTTCATTTATTTGTATGCAAAAAACCTATAGAAGACCAAAGCCTTTCAACTGATGCAGAATTAATACATATTTCATGAATATGTATTGCTAATTTAGCCAATTTGGGACCAATACCTGCTGTAGATTCCCAAAAATCAAGTAAATTTCCTTGAAATTGTTGAAATGACACATTATCATAAGGATCTTTCTCATGTTTATACTTAATCATTTCACTAAGAATTGATCATGATGGTAAATTAAAGAATGCCTGAAAATAATACTTTAGCCATTGTCCAATATGCGTCCAAGTAATATTCATAACAGTATTATTAAATTTAGAAAGTTTGTATGTTGGATGAAGAACAATAGACAATAATAACAATGGCTGTTCCCAATATTTCCAATGATGTTCTACTCAGTTAATCATTTTTTTAGCAAAATTTTGATTTGGATGGTTTGAAAAAATTTTTACTGTATAAGCAAAACAATATACAACTTCATATAATCTTGCAGTATCCTTTTGTAATTTATTAAGAAATCCACATAAAGGATATAGCAAAGCTTGTATAATGATAAAACTTTCCAAAATTCTGAATCATTAATTATATCTGCTATATCATCAGGTAATTTTCGATCTCTATTATTATGCTTTAAACTTTTATTTGCTGGTATAGTTGGAATACCATTAACTCGTAATACACTTAATCTATGTTCATTATATCTAAGCGAAAGAAATTTTAAAGCAGCATGAGTTTTTATAATTGAATAAAAACAAAAGTAATAAGAGCACCAGCAAGTATCTCCAGAAGATACTAGTGAAATTTTTTTTTATAAATTCTTATTTGTTCTTCCCGCAAAATACCCATAAAATATGTTGAACTATGAAAAAATC